ATTGCAATGCCTCTTGTAGCTGGTGGAGATGGGCTGAGGGAACAGCACAGAGGCTTTACCAGGAGAAGGTCTGGGCCTCAAATAGTCGTTAGCCTGAGAAGCAGGAAGCAGTGAACATAAACTGAGATGAGGATGGTGTGGTTGGCCAGGTCTCCAAAGCAAACTCCCAAGGTGGGTGGGAGGGTTTGGCCAGTGACTGAGGTGAGAGCCTGTTTATGGAGACACACTGGTTGGATGAGCTATCACCCTCCCTAGGAGGAAGGTGGAATGAAGTTCAGCACCTCTTCTTTTGAGTGACTGCTTTTGTTTTGTTTCGTCTTTTTGGGCAAACAAGCTTTTTTACTTCCTCATGTTATTTTCCTGGGGTGGCTATTTACCCAGCGAGCAGCATTGACCTCTTTCTATGGGAAGACTTAACTCTGCTCCCTGGAGCCACCGCCTGAGGGGTCTGTGTGAGTGCTCAGCCACAAGCTCCCCGCCATCTCTGTGCACAGGTCTTCCCCAAGAGCCATGTTGCCAGTGCACTGAAGACCATCTTTGAGAAGAACGTCATGAGCTTTGCTGGTGGCACCATGGGAGCAGTGAATGGCATGAGACCCGACGGTGTGCCCGACACCTCCAGTGTGCAGTCCAACGAGGTCTGGGTCGGTGTGGTCTATGCCTTGGCTGCCACCATGATCCAGGAGGTGAGTGGCAATGCTGCACCCCTCGGCAGGTGCTGACTCCTTGCACTCTGTGGAAGTGCTGATGGTCGTCTTCCCTCTGCTGCAGGGGCTGGTGGAGGAAGGCTTTCATACGGCGGAGGGCTGCTACCGGACAGTTTGGGAGCAGCTGGGCATGGCTTTCCAGACACCAGAGGCTTATCGGGAGAAGAAAGTCTACCGCTCGCTGGCTTACATGCGGCCCCTTAGCATCTGGAGCATGCAGTTGGCCCTGGAGTGCAGAGCTGGCCGGGTACCAGCACCTGTGCAGCCCCCCCAGGTCCCCATCCACCCTTGAGCCTGGTGGCACTGAGCAGGGTAGTGGGTGCACCAGGGGCCCTCAGCTGGCAGGTAGGGACCCTTCCCTTCCCTTCTTTGATAATATTCATATTGCTGTTTTCCTTCCCTACCTCCACCACCTGCCCTTCACCTCAGGGGGCTTCCGGCCACCAATGCTGAGCACGAGGGGGGACCAGAGGTGCGGGTGATATCTCCTCGGGGAGGAGAGGGGTGGGATAAGGAGGCACTGCTGGAGCCTGTGCCTCCCCTTCCCCATCGCTCAGGGCTTGGACAGCCTGCAGGACCCCCAGCCATCCTCCACCAGAGCTGGTACCTTGCCCAGGAGCACAGGAGACCTCTCTTCTGCAGTCAGGTGGCTGGGTAAGGTGGGAGCTGGCCTGCAGGGGGGAAAAAAAAAAAAAAAAAAGGGAAGGGGGGGGGGGAAAGAAAACAAATTTGAACCGGGAATGTTTTACGTGCAGGGTGCGCGCAGGCACGTGGATGCTGTAGTTGTCCCTCCGTTGTGTGACACTGCAACCACCGACTGGCTCTGTCCCAAGGCACCGGCCCCAGGAGAGCCTGCGGCAGAGACAATCCCCAGGGGAGCCCCGGCTCCCCAGCCCCTGACAATCGGAGCCCAAGCAGCAGGTCCGGGTCTGGTACCACGGCACCCCTCCCTGCTGGCGCTGGGGGCGGGCAGCGGAGCACGTTTTAGAGGGTGAATAATTTTAAGTTCTTAATAAATTTGTCTGGCTGTCTCTCCTTCTTCTTGTGTGTCTTCTCTGTGGTGGGTGCAGGCTCGAGGAGGGAGCCCCTGTTGCTCCCCCTTTTCTTCCTGGGCTGGGCTGGAGGGCTGGGAATACAGAAAGGGGAGCAAGCCCTAATTGCAGGTGGGCTGTGCTTGTGTGTCACCTCCAGATGTGATGGCAGGAGTGACCTGCCCCTTGCTCTCTCCTCTCCTACCTGGAAGGCAAGGAGCCTACCTAGCACTGCTCCTGTGGGGAGCACCAGTGCCAAATCCCACCTGGGGCTGGGCACTTTGCTTCCTTTTCTCTGCCAGTGCAGAATTTGAAGGCTGCATGTGCCTCGTTTTCAGGGGGTGGGAGGGAGCCCTTCCCCCAGATTTGGCAGATATTAGAGCTTTTTCCTCTAAAGTCTTCCCTTAATCTGTAAGTGTTGTCAGGGCTGGGGTGGGAAGTGACCTTTCCTCCCTGCTGTGACCGTGCTTCCCCCCCAGCCCCTGCCTGCCCTGGGAGCTGGTGCAGGCAGGGCATTGCTGCAGTGGCCTGGTGCTGGCAGTGGGTGACAAATGGCCTTTTCTTGGCTCCCTGGGGGAGCGTTCCTGCATCCGCCTGGGCAAAGGAATGTTATCCGGGAAGGACAGGTTGTCCCGGATGTGGCCCCCCCCGGACCAGCCGGTGTTGTCCTCCCATGGCAGAGCCCATAGCCAATGGAGCGGCACTGAGATGCTCTCCCTTAGGGTCACTGTGGTGAGGCTGGAGGGGCACTGGGGTGCTGGGACACTGGTGCAGCTCACCTGGGCTGCCTGCCTCCGCTTGTCTTGTGTTGGCAGCCAGCAGGGACAGTGATGTCCTGATCTAGCTGGCAAGGGACACAAGCAGGTCAGCTGCTGGGTTCTATTGCTGCAACCCACCAGCATGGCTCCTTTAGCCCCAGGCGATAGGCTGCCCACAGATGTTCTTTTAGACTAGATATAAGGAAGGAATTCTTTACAGTGAGGGTAGTGAAACACTGGAAGGAGTTGCCCAGAGAAGTGGTGGAGGCCCCATCCCTGGAAACATTCCAGGCCAGGTTGGACGGGGCTGTGAGCAACCTGATCGAGTTAGTGGTGTCCCTGCTCACTGCCGGGGGGTTGGGCTAGATGACCTCTAGGGGTCCCTTCCAACCCAAAATGTTCTATGATTCTGTGATTGTTTCAAAGGTTGGGGTGTTCAGTCTCTATCAAGGGATATTTCTGCTCCTTCCTCCTCTTTTGACTGTATTGTCCCAATAAAACTTGTCTCTGACAGGCTCAGCTTTCAGCAACTTCTGCATGGGCATGGCTCCGGGCCGGGAGAACAATCCTTGGTTGCAGATATGATTTTCTCTAACAATTGCCTGTATTTCTGTATTTCAAGGCTGACTCAATCCCAGCTTGAGCAGCAAGTTTAACTATTCATTAACCCTTTCTTCTTATTATTAATTTACCCTTTCTTGGCCCCTGACACACAAGGGTTTAAAACACAGCCCTGCCAACTTTTAACTTCTTCAGCACTTTCTGCTTTGGACCTTCTTCCCTGCCTGCCCATTCCCCCTTGTCCTCTCCCTGCTGCGCTGGGGCTCAGGCATGGCATTGCAGGATTTAGCGATGCTAATGATTGCCGGACCCGAGCCGCTTCACTGGCTGCCCTTTGGAGGGTGCAAACCCCGCAGAGGCACCCTGGCTCTTGGCTTGTTTTATTTTTGACTTGGCTGGGACTGGTCCAGAAATCTACCTCCTTGAGCACTGAGCTGACCCCTGCACCTGCACGATGAGGCCGCTGGGACAGGGATTGTTAAATACAGGAAAAATGAAGGTTTTGGGCAGATAGCACCAATATTATTATTGTTTGTGTGATGCTAAAATAAACCTACGGCTGTAAATGAGCTGTAGGTTGCCATCAGCAGCAGTGCCAGCATGCAGACCTCATGTTACCCATCCCTGTGGCCACGGGGTCCTTGCGGCAGCTCCCTGAGCCAAGGTGGTGACGGTCGGGGGTGATGGCTGCTCCTCCTGCCCCCTGCAAACTTCCCAGACCGACTGTGATCATTATCACGAACCTTGAGCACACTCCAGGCAGCACCTGCCTGCCACAAAAACAGCCAAAGCAAACAGCAGCTGTGTGGGAAAACATACCTTGTTGTGCACTTGATTTCTGAGACAGAGGGAAGCAAACACTGAGGCAGGAATTTCCTGCAGGCAGGCAGCTTTCTGGCTGGGGAGCTCTTGCGGGCAGGGGTGCAAGAGCGCTGTGGGTCTCCTGCAGAGAGGAGAGAGGGGCATTGAGATGCCGGCAGCAAAACCCAGCCTGGGTAGCGATGAATTTTACTGTCAGAGAGAAACAGGGGAGCAAATGTGAGACTGAAGGGAAAGCAAAATTTGGGAAGTATTTCCGAGCAACATGCAAAGAGTTGCTTTGTCTCCATTTTAAGAAAAGGAGCATTTTGTGGTGAACAGGGCTCCATCAGCTCTTGCTGTCATGACACAAAGAATTAGAACACACATATTTTAGGAGACTGCCTTGAAAATCATTGAGGAATGGGTGAGAAAATCTGGTATGACCCAAGCCACTTCAGCCTTTCTGGCCAGCAACAGCCAAAACATAAGGGGAATTATATAAATATGTACTTAAAGTTATTTAAGAATCCCTGCGTAAATACAATTTTTGTCAGCATTAAAATGTGACATCCAAGATATTCGGGGAATGTTTGTTTTTCATAAACAAAATAATTTCCTTCCAACAAAAGCCTGTTTGTAAAAGCAGCAGGAAACCTTCACGCCAGCCCCATGTGAGAGGAGAACAGGCACTCTGTAGACTAATCCATGGCTGCTTCAGTACCCGGGGGGGGAAGGCAAAGCCCCGAAAGGAGCCTGGTGCTGGGTGGGTTTGCATGAGGATGCCTGCTGAGGAGGAGCAGGGTGATGCCGTGTGCGGTGGCTGATCCTGGGGTGCATTGGGGTTAAGGCTGCTTGGCACCCCTACGCACCCTGGGCATGGCAGAGGGGTGGGGAATGGGTGGCAGAAGGGACAAGAGCCCCTGAGAGGGGTTTTCCCTGGCTAAGCATCCATCCTGCTGGTCACCAGTCTGCAGGAGCCAGAGCTCCCCATGAGGTGCCAGGGAAGGATGAGTAAAGGGGGACAGTTTCAGCAAGCATTTCTGAGAATATCAGCCTGCAACCACCCTCTGTAACAGCCAGGAACTGCAAATTTGGAAACACCCAGATTGCACAACACCCTGGATGGAGCTGCCACCTGCAGCCCTGGCAGCAATAAAAAGGGGGGAGAGCAGGCACATCGGCAGAGCCCTGCAAGGAGCGCATCCCTGGGTACGCCAGCTGCCTGCCCGCTTCAGAGATGGTGCAAGCAGCTCCCTTCCTCCTGCTGCTCGGCCTGGCCCTGCTGGCTCCCGGCCTCTCTGCGAGAAAGGGACCGTCAGGGGTGGGGCCGGGTGGGCAGGGGGGCCGCGGCTCCTGGGGGTGCCCGCTCCTGGCCCCGGCTCTGCAGCAGCACCGACGCTGATTCCCCTCCACTCCAGTGCGTGCTGACCGGGTTCTGGGTCAACGACCTGGGCTCCAACATGACCATCGCAGCCGTGAACGCAAAAGGTGAATTCACTGGCTCCTACTACACGGCTGTGTCAGATACCACGCAAAAGATCCAGGTGTCACCACTGCAAGGATACCAGAACCTTATGAGCCCGGAGAGCCAGCCCACCTTTGGCTTCACCGTCAACTGGAGCTTTTCAGGTGTTTCTCCTTTCCCTGCCTCCTCGCGGTGTCCCCAGAGGTCCCCTGCCCTCCCTGTGATGTCCCTGATGCTCTTCAGCCCTCACCTGCAGTGTCCTTGATGATCCCCTGCCTTTCCCTGCAGTGTCCCCCGTGCTCTCCCATCCCCTGTGGTGTCCCTGACGCTCCCCCATCCTTGACCCCGGAGCTCCTTGGCTGGTTGGTGTCACCTCCCAGTCCTGGGGCACCGAGGATGCGCTGGAGGCTGAAGACCACTGCTCTCTCCCCAGCTCCACATGAGACCCCCAGCCCTCTGAGCCCTCCTGCCTGCTTTCCCCATCACCACTGTCCCCAGAGGGCAGGGACAGCCCGAGTCTGCTGTCCCCTGTGCCGGGGGGCCATGCCTTGGCCACACTCACCTCCACTTCCCACCCTGTCCCCGCAGACTCCATCACTGTCTTCACGGGCCAGTGCTTTGTGGATAAGAAGGGAAAGGAGATTTTGAAGACCATGTGGCTCCTGCGGTCACGTGTGGACAACATCGACAATGACTGGAAAGCCACCAGGTGAGCCCCCCATCCCCACCCCGTAGGGGTCCCCTGCGCATCCCCAGGGGGTCAGGGCTCTCCCACCCTGCTCAGTGCCCGGCAGAGCCGCTGCCAGTGTGGGGATGACCAAGGATGGGGTACCTGTGCACGGCCTCCCTGGGGGTCCTGACAAGGTGCTGGGGGGTGGGATGGGGCTGAGCGGGCATCCGGCACTGGGAGGGTGCGTTTGCCCTGTGCAGGGGTGCATTGCCCAACCTTATGTTTCCTCCCTATGTGTCCACACAGGGTTGGCACCAACGTCTTCAAGCACCCGCAGCCGCAGAAGGAGTGAGGGTGGCAGTGCAGGGGTTCCCGGGCCAGCATCATTCCGGATGCCCCCCTCCTGCCCCAGCCCCTGCTTCTCCCAATAAAGCTTTGCTGCAAAGACCCACCCAGCTCCTGTCGTGTCGTGGCTCCGTGCCCACGTTCCCCCATTCCCCCCCCTCTCTCCCCCGGCATCCCATGGCCTCTCCTGTCACCGTCCCCAAGGCCCGGTGTGTGTCCCCTGCGGTGACCGCCCCCACGTCCCCGACTCCTCCATCGCAGCCCCCACCGCCCCCCCGGGCTCCCTCAGGACCCCT